CCCCCCCCTCCCCCCAAAAAAAACCCTTCTAATTTTTCCCTTTTCCCTGGCCTCTTACAAAAAAAACCTAACCCACCTTCCCTCTCTCTCATACCATCTGCGCAAAAAAAACACCCACCCACTCCCTTACTCTTCTCAATTCCCTCTTCCTCACGAGCACTCTTTCCCAGAGACCCCTCAGGTATGTGAGATGTTTTCTTCCTTTGTTTATATTTTTCCTTGTTTGTTTGTAGCAATTGTTTTCTTTATTTCTTTTCTGTTATCCTTTTCTTGTGGGGTGGAGGTTGAGTTTCACCATGGAGACTGAAAATATAATTGCTAGGTTGTGAAATTGGTGTGTACGTAGTCCATCTATGGCTAAAATTTGCTTTGTGGGGGATTAGGAACAATTGTGCATGTTAAGTGTTTGTGTAAATGCCACAGTGAGGTTGAGAGTGTAATTTTGTGACCAAGTGTGAGGGTGAAGTCTGAGTAGCCTTTCTTAGTTCACCGGGTTATTTATTTGCTGATATTTGGCAGATTGTTTCAGGTTCCATGGCTCCATCCAAGAAAAGAAAAACTGCAAGTGCACGTTACGGTAGTGAGCCTCTACATTCTTTCGTTCTTATGATCAGAATAAGTTTGTCTCATGGAAAACCCAACAACGTTTTAATAACAAAGAAGGAAAAAAGCCCATACCGGAAAGGGGAATCGATATTGGGTCTCTCCAAAATGATTGTCCCAGAGTGTATGCAGAATTGGTCAGGCGAGGAATGGAGGTGTTCTTCGAAGAACCTAACGAAGAAAATTTAATGGTTGTTCGGGAGTTCTACGCGAACTGCCCAGAACATGAGGACCATGTATGTACAGTCTGGAAGAAGAGAGTGGATTTCTCCAAAGAGGCCATCCAAAGGGCCTATCACTTGACGGAATACGTGGAAGACCCTGATGCAAATAACTACTATTTGGCGTACAACAGAGAACCATATTTATGGCTCACATTCTTTGTGACAATTTGTATGCCCGGGAAGGAGGTGGTGTGGTTGATCCACGACCACAAATATCACTCTACTTCACTCACTTTTGAGGGGAAATGCTGACTTTACAGAATTAATAACCGCCTCATGCTGCCAGGAAACACTACTGAGGTGAATGGTCCCCGTGCTGCTCTGATTTGGTGCTTTGTTACTGGCCCGACTTTGATGTTCCCCAGGATGAGATGATAATTCGTTATCCTGTGCAGAGGTATGGGTTCTTTCTCTCGTCACTAGTCACTCGGTTATTCCGTGAGGCACGAGTACCGGAAAATAGGTCCACAGATGGGAAAATCACGCACGAATAGATATTTCGGGCTGATAAAGTTGTAATTGGGAATGAACCTGCTGGGGATGCTGAGGAGGATAGTGAGGGGTTTGATGCGCCCGATGAAATAAATGAGTGCACGGTGAGGATATTGCTGCTTCTCCACCGCATGCACTGGGTATTGGAGAACATTCAGGCGAAAGATGGGAAACGAGAATGGTCGCTTTAGAACATGAGATCGCGGAGATGCATACTTCAGCCACTAATTTGGGAGCTCGAGTGGCCGGGCTTGTCATCTGGACCTCGGCACCGTCTCCGACACGGGATGACTTGATCGGGGGAATTTTCTTCACCTTTGCATTTTCATTGTGTGTCATGAGTATATATCACAACTTAAAGTATGGGGTGGGGGGATATTTTTATGTATGTATATTAGTTATTTTTTCTTGTTAGTTGTAGTTGTTAGAGATAGAAAATAATTGGAAAAAAAACCAAAAAATATTTAAATTTTTTGATTTTTCTCTACGATAGATATCATTCGACAGATTTCTTGAGGGAGTGTAATAATTCCCCCCTGATTTGTTTTTGTGTCGCGGTTCTTTTTTAAGGGTTTTGTATGAACCGGATATAGTTAGTTTTTGTTTTGTAGAGTAGTAGGAAATATTGTGCTATGAATTGAATTGAAAGCAATATCTCTTGACTTTATGATACCTTGAGAACATTAAGTGCTTTAGTTGTGACGCTTAGGTTCAGTTTTTGAATCTTGTATAAGTAGCTTAAATTGTATGATCTTAACTTTGCTGAACTACTTTGACTAGAGTGTCTTGATAGTCCAATCTTGTATGATTTATGTGCCATGTGTGTGTGAGATTTTAAGTTATTCTTTGCAATGCATTTGATGTCTAGAACTTGCCCCGTGTGTTTGCAAAGCGAAATGGTAGTTTTATTCAGTCTTGGAAGGGATAAAGGCGTTTATTTGTTAAGCCAGATATATGCTTTTGCCCACCTGATTGTTATGTATCCTAGTCAACCACGTTGAGCTTGTAATCATGTTTCTTTGGCAACCACATTACAAGTTTCACCTATTTGTTTGAATTGACCATCTATTTGAACCTGTACCTCTCATGAGCACAGGAATTTGTTATAAACTTTGTAAAAGTTGAAGTGTGGGGTGGTTGATTTGGCTTTTGAGTGAAACTATTAAACAAAGGAGAAATGTGCAATGTTTTGAAAAAGTAAGAGCCACTTGAATTGAAAAAGAAAGGGAAAAAATAAGTGTTTGATTGTGAAAAATGGTCATTGATAGTGGTAACTTGATGTAATTGTGCTTAAAGAAGTAGGGGTTGATGTAAATTGATGTGAAGGTGGAGTTATGGTTTGACATAAGTGTGGGGTTTGAATGATTAAGTGTATGTATTAAATTGCTTAGGGAGGTGTAGTCACTAATATCAATATGTATCCTACCCGTCCCGTAGCCTCTATTATCACCAATTAAAGTCCTACTTGATCTTTGACTGAATGAGCTCAAATTAGTAAAGTATTACACTATGGGTAAGTCTATGGTACGTCTTCTGTGGCACATGAATTTTAGTTCTGAGAGTGAGAATTCTTTCTATCTTCAGTTCCTAATTGTTCTTGAATTTATTGTGTGTGGAACTACTCTCTATTATTTGTGTGAGGGCACTTGATTCACAATGTAAAGGTAATGTCGTTGACCTCTGTGTTAAAGTAAGTGGGTGAGTTATAGGAATGCATGGTGCTTTTAAGTCAAATATTGAGGCGAGGATGTTACGGTATTGTGCTTGATAAAGAGTTGTTGAAAAAAGATCGTGTTGAGATGAAGTGTAGTTTGATTGCTCGAGGACGAGCAATGGTTTAAGTGTGGGGTGTTGATGGTAGGCTATAATCTCGTATTTTAGTCGCTTATTGAACTCTAATTCACTGTACTTTATTAGTGTTTGAGCTTTAATTGGTATTGTTTTGCACTAAGTGTGTGTGTTATGCCTTGTAGGAGCGATTATGAGTTATGCAGATGTTGTGGAGCTAATTCGAGCTATTTGGAGCTTTGATGTCTCAGTAAAATCACAAGGGATTAAGTCGGGATCGTGTTCGAGGATCAATGGACGAATAGTGCACTTAATGGGAGGAAAAGGAGTTGAGCAAGAGCGAAAATCATATGCGCGACCGCACATGAGAGACCCCCAGCGCGCACACGACCACGCAAGTGACATAGTATTCTGCCATACATGCGCGGCCATGTGCGCGATCACACCTCCAGGTGCGCGGCCGCGCACTTTCGTTTCCGGGAACTTTATCCAGGCCTATTTTGGTAAATTCGGAGGCGACTCTTTTTGACCTATATGAAGCCTAGCTCGTCTTAAAACAAGGCATCTGATATCTTGGAGCAACGTTTGGAGAGAAAAAGGCAAGGAAACAACAGAGACTCAAAATACTTCATCCAATTAATTCAATACGGAAGTTTGTTTGATTTTGGGAATTGTAATGTCTTCTTGTTCTTCTAATACTCTAATAAATAACTTCTCCACTATGGAGTAACCTTTCTTAGGGTTATTGACAGATATTGTGATTTGACTATTGTTTGGGGTTTACTCTATGCTAGTTGCCTGAATTTGTTGAATGAGTTATTAATGGGATTGCAAGGTCAATTGTGGTTTTACTTAAATAGAAAGAGAAGTGTTGATGCAATTCACATTGTGTTATCTTGTTTGGGTTGATTTTACGCCTCTCATAAGTAATCGAAAGAGTTTAAAGAGTTATCAATTGATTCAATTTGGAGGAATAGTTGAGAGACGTTTTTCGAAAGATCATTTATTCATTGTATTTTTGCATATGTTCATAGGACCTGTTATTAGGTTGGTTAACGGAACTCTCATTCATTCGGAAGAAGAATTTGAATCCTAAGATTAGCCTAATCATCTGTTAAAATCGAAAGAGTCAATAGAAGCTAAGAGTGAACTTAGTACGGAATTACCCAAAATAATAGTTGATCACATATCTTGTCACAACCCTTACTTCTCACCTTGAATTTCAATCATTGCTAGTTGGTCATTAAAGTTTTATTATTTTCTCGCAATTGATTTTCTTAGTTTCTACTATTAGTTGATAATAATATAAACCAAAAGTTTATTTTCCTGGATAGTGTTAAGTTGAAGTTTTATTAGAACATTATTTAAACCAATCCCTGTGGAGACGATTTAATAATATACCATCCTTGGCTAGCGAGTCTAAGTTTTATACACCGGTTTTGCGCTCGTCGGTTTCTTCCATTTATTTCACTCTTATGGTAACATAGAAAGTGCTTCGAAAGGCGTCGGCTACCATAATCTAAAAGGACAGAAAGATAAGAGAAAAGAAATGTCTGAAATGTATCAATTTTATTGAGGGTGATAAAGTAGCAACATAGCAAATGATAAAGTAGCAACAATAAGAGAATAACAATTACCTTCCTTCACCACCAATTCTTGAAAGGACTAACAACATTGTCTAAGAGAAAATAGTAAGAAGTGACCATTAATGCCTCAACAAGCGTAAACCATGCCCTTCTCCAATAAGGATTGAAGTAGAGTGCTGCAGCTAATCCCAGCAAGATTGCTCCATAAGACACGCCAAAGCCGATGTAGAAACTCTCCTTATAATCCAAGTCAGATTCATCACTTTCATTCTTGGAGGTATTTGACAATTTAGTACTGCTACATTCGTTGTCTAATGGATAGCCACAAAGAAATGGATTCCCCTCATAGCTGCTTTTGTCGAAAGTTCCGAATTGACCTTTAAACTCGGGTACTCTACCAGATAAGTTATTGTGTGCCACGCTGAACACCGCCAGAGGATGTAGCTCAAGTAGACCTTCAGGAATACTCCCGTTCAAGCTGTTGTAGGAAAGGTCTAAACTCTCGACTTCATGTAAGTATGAGAAACTTTCTGGAATTCTTCCAATGAGATGGTTGTGTGATAGATTCAGTGCATGTATTTTGCTCAAATTCCCCAGCTCAATGGGAATTTCACCAGTTAATCTATTGCTTGATAGATCAATACCTGACATGTATTTTAGAATGCTTCCTTTATAAGTATATGTGTTTCTTTTTGTTGAAAACTGCACCCGAGTTTCCACATCCATCAATGTGACGTCACTTATGAATCCATAAGTAATGTGGTAGTGCCTTGTCGAACTTATCCAGGACAAGAAGTGTAACCACTCTGCCCTGGAAGTCATGCGAAAATAGAAACTCCTAATTGTTTGTTCATCATTTTCCACTTGTTTTAAGTTACCCAAACAATGAAGGAGTGGAAGGAGTGGACTATAAAGCTTATTAAAAGACAAATCCATGATGGATAACTTGTTCAACAAACAAATCTGAGCTGGGATATTTCCTTCCAATTGGTTATGGTTGAGGAGAAGGAAGTTCAGATTGGAAAGTGAGCCTATGGTGTGTGGGATACTTCCTGTAAAACTATTGTAGCCAAGATCCAATGTAATCAGAGAAGAGATATTGGGAAGTGCATATTCAAGTCCTCCACCCAATTGATTTTTGTCAAGATGGATATGTTCAAGGGGCAAACTACTCACACAAGAAGGAATAGTGCCTGAAAGTCTATTTTCGGACATAGCTAAGACCTTAATGCTCTTCAAATTGCAAATTTCAACTGGAATAGAGCCTTCGAAATGATTTTTAGAAAGATCAAGTTGTAATAATCTTGAATTATCTCTAATCCATCTCGGAATCTCTCCAGAGAAATTATTGTTGCTAGCATCCAGTACAATAAAGGCTCTAAGAAAAATGTTACTAGGTAGTGGTCCCTCAAAGTTATTGCCATTCAAATACAAAAAAGATAGTATACCTGATCTGAAATCCTTCAAAAATATTTGCCCTTTCAACCTGTTGTTTGACAGCCGAAGGTAGAACAATGTTGGAGAACTAGTCACATCACTAGGAACTCCTCCAGACAAGAAATTATGAGATAGGTCTAGAATTCTTAAAGGAATGCCACTAACCCCAGAAGGTATAGGACCTTCAAGCAAATTTTGTGACATGTTCAAACGATTAATCTTTGGGAAGGCTGAACTAAAGTTTGCTGGAATATGTCCATTTAGTTTGTTATTAGAAACATCAATAGTATGTAGACGGGGAAGAGAAGTTGATGGCAACTCCAACGGTCCAATGAAAGCATTATCTCTAGCATAAAGGCCTCCAAGTCTGGTGTTATTCTCTAATAACCAGGTTGGAAAGTTTCCTAGCAATTGATTTCCACCAATAGCAAGAATTCTCAAGTCATACTGGTAGTGAAGGAAAGAAGGCAATTTCTGAAGGTTTATACATCCCTCAATAGCAAAAAGCTGCAACTGGAAATTTGGGATCCAATTCTGAAATTCGGTGTCTGTAGTTATTGTATTAGAGCCAACATTCAAGTATGTCAGTTTTGAATGGTTGGCGAACTGCTTGAATGACAGTGGAACTTCAAATTGGTTATATGAAATATCCAGGTACTCAAGTGATGTGAGTCTCCTCCAAAATGGATGTAAGTCTATATTTCCAGTGAAGGAGTTACCAGTAAGACTCAGCCAACGAAGTGATGTCAAGTTTCCGAGACATGAAGGAAGTGTTCCCTCAAAATTGTTGTTAGTGAATGCTAGCTCTTGAATATTTTTGAGTTCACACCAACCTATATAAAATAAAAAGATTCATATATATGACATATAGCAAAAATAAATTTCTATAATAAGCTATGTCTAATCAAAACATGGAAATGTTGGCATTAGCATGAAAAAGAGAAAATCACGCTAGCTACCTTGATTGGGGAGGGTGCCATAATTGTCGCCAAAAGCCAAACTCAGTACTTTAAGAGAAGTCATTTGTCCAATGCTTGAGAGAAAGTTCTCATTTAAAGAAGATCCACCCAAGTATAGATACTCCAATGTGCTCAGATTTGTTAATGCTTTTATTAGAGAGTCAAAGAAAAATAAAACAAATTTAAAAAAGAAAAGAGGTGATACTAAGGTAGAGAATATTTTTTTAAGTTACCGTAAGTGATAGCCGGAGCTGTGAGATTACTATAAACATAAGCAAGGGACTCGAGAGATGAGAATGATTTTAGGGATTGTAAGACGTTGGTCGAGTTGAAATTAGAACCTCCAAGCACTAAAGCCCGTACACAACTCATTCTTTTGCTACCTGTTAAACAGTGCAAACGTAAATCATACATCTTTTTATAAGAATGAATAGATCTTTTGTGTTACATGAGAATGAATGGTTCTTATTAAGTCCAATGGATATGTAGATTTTCAGTCTATGTATAAGGTAGACAATTAATGTACTTATCAAATTCTTGTCGGCATTTATCAAAATTTTGACGTTACTTTAAATATACAATGTACATGGTTACTAAAACCATTTACATTACTAAGATTTTTTTTCTTGTAAAAGCGACAATACTTTTTTGGAATATAGTTTTGCAGAATTCTTTATCTGTTTTACAAAGAAAATATTTTCAGAATCTTACTGATTGTCCGAAATTAGGTATTTTCTTTCTATTTTCTTTAATAAAAAAAAAAAAACTTCAGTTATGCAAGAGATTTAGATATACACTGAAGGGCTCTAAACCTTTTCTTTTTCTTTTTTCGTTTTGAGTCCTCTTCCAAATGTTTTGTTTTGAATGGATACTTTAATTTCTAAAACGCCCTTTTTCAACTTAGATCCTAATTGGCTAAGCTTCCAAAAACTACTTATTCGGAAAATCATATCTTTGTTCATAAAGTGTTTTTGAAAAAGTATTTTTGGAGATTAACAGTTTGTGTTTGGCCAATTCATTTGACAAGTACTTTTGTAGAGTAATATTTAATAAAATCTTTCCAAAAAGTACTTTTGAGTGTCTAATTACGAAAAAGAACAATAAGGTTAGTTTACAATTAGTATTATTTAAAAAAAATCAAATATTTATTATAAAGAATTTAAGTAATTCTTTATTTTTATTTAATTAAAGTATAAAATATATATTAAAATTTTAAATTAATATAAAATATAGATATACCAAAGCAATAATATTGGTAGGACATATGTGCTTTACATGTATGAAAATCATTATTTATTCTTGAGAAAATAGTAAACTAGGTAGTATTGCATTCCGTCAACAATAATATATGCGTGCACGCAAACAATAAATATAAACTAGATATCATATAATTTTTGTATACTACAAAAGAAAAAAAAAATATCTGATGAATAGAGTGCTTGAATCCGGTGATTACTAATAGAAGATCAAAATAACAAAGAAAGAGAAAAGAAGAGATTTATTTATAATATAGAGATTAAACCAAAGAGGAATAGGAAGAAAAAGAATAAGAATACAATAAAAATATAAAAGAGAAGAAAGAAATGGTAGAAATAAAAAAGGTAAAGAAAAAGGTTAAATTAAAGGGGATAATTTAAAAAATATGAATTTATGGTAAGAATATTTTTTTTCTTAAAAATAATTGTTTGCTTCTGCTTCTGCTTTTTAAGAAGCAAGAATTTGTAGCTTATTCTCAAAAGCTAAATTAACTTCTTTTGTGGTTACTGTTCAAAAGCACTTCTATATCTTGGCCAAATACTTCAAATTTTCAAATAAGTACTTTTTTTACCAAAAAGAAAAAATATACTTTTTGCCTCCCAAAAGCTTGGCCAAATAAGCTCTTAACTTCAAATACTACCTTTTTAAAATTATCACACAATTTATGTCCAAAAGCCTAAGGTTTTGTTTGGAAATAATTTTTTTTCCTTTTTTTCAAAACAATATTTGGTTATGAAAAATTTACTATTTCTTAAATTCAACTTGAAAATGGATTTTCAAATTTGGAGAAGTCCTTTGAAACCAGTTTTTCACTGAATATCTATAACTTGGGAACTTTTAAATTTTAAAAATTTACCCCAAGTTTTTGGAATTTATAAAAGGACCCCATCTACCCACTAGAATTAAATACCAAGCTAACCATTAAACAGTCACTTCTCTTTGTTAATGCCTACAGTTGAGAGAAACTATAACTAAGTTAAAACAGTAAGAAGATCAAGGTATAGATAAAGAAACCTTGCCAACACAATTCTACATTGTAAATATTAAGTTTTCTTCTTGGGAAAAATTAGTTTCATCGACTTTCACTATCTTTTTTAACAAAAGAATTAGAGTGCAGTTGAGTTTTGCACGTGTTTACTTGTTTGTTTCAAGTAAGATAGTCAAGTTGGGATAATTTAATAGTTTTTACAAATTGTGGAGTATAAATCATGTTTCATGATTTTGGGAAAAAGTACATTCAAATGCATTGCAAAAGTTATAACCAAAATACACAACTTCATCTTTGAATCAAACTTTAGTGAAATTCCAAATTCCAAAAAAAAAAAAAGACTTGAAATTTATGTCCAAAACGCCTACTAAGACTTACAAAAACATGTACCATCACTTTTTTCTGGTATAGAAATGAACTCTTCTCTGCAAATCAGTTTTTGAACAATGGAAGTCATAACATAAAAGGGTTAAATGCTAAAAACTGATTCTAATATGTATTCTTTTTTATTTTTATGCCTTTATGGGGTGAATAACTAAAGTGTTGTTACCCGAGGTGCCCAATTTTCAAGTTATCAACTGCGTACCTTTGGTAGTCACAAAGCTCTCGAATTTGTTATTCCGGAGATTCAGAAATTCCAAATTGCTTAGAGCAACTATATCTACACGGGTAAATCAAAATAAATAGTTAGCACAAAGAAAAAAACAAGCATTTATGTATTTGATACGGGTAGATAAATGAAATATTCAGTTGTATGATTGAAATCATAATGAAGCAACATATGATTAACGGGTGAGATTAACGACAAACCACTCATTTCAATTTTTCCATCTATTTCATTGTATGAGAGATCGAGATGCGTGAGAGATGGAAGATCCTTGAGAAATGAAAAGATGCTAGAATTGAAGCTATTTTCACTCAAATAGAGTTTCTCTAAATTCTTCCGTCCAATATGTGTTCCAAGACCTACATTGATTTGTGAATGTTTAGAACAAATTAAGGGTAAAAACAAAAATAGTTAAGGAAGCTTACCCAATGTAGAAAGGACATTGATGTCATTGACTCCATAACCTTCTAACAAGAGTTCCCTTAAATTGCTCTGCCCCGGACATTTCTGACTTATGCCTTCATCTGAAAAAAGAACTATTCCAAGGGAGTTGTAATATTGCATAAACATGTCCAAAAATATATATATTCGCAAGAAAATTCTTATACATCTATACTATATTGCCAACTTGCTATATTATAGGTTCAATTTTTTCTTTTACTTAATTGTTCTTAACAGCTGCTCATTAAAACATAAAAGTTAGACGGACTCCTTTTAACTCTGAAGGATCTTTTCTTTGGAAAATCAAACGTTGGGTCTTCTTCAACAACCCAATTCGCCAAAAAAGAACTGTTGGTTCTTGTAGAAAAGCATACTGTAGAAGTCTTTACCTTTTTTTTCCTTGTTTTATAATATGAACCCTTCTTCTCATTATCAAGGAAAATTAAAATATCATCCTGCTTCAGATAATTTGTTTTCCTTTGGTTTCTTTACACATGGATTAATTAGAACAAAGTTTTTACCTACTTTGTGGTCTGGGTTCGATTAGTTGAAGAAGATAAAATGATGTACTATAGTGGAAGAATTTCAGTTTTAAAAAATGATTTGCTACGAAGTTGAAAGCCTAACCATATACTATATCTTTGTTAAATTTATGTACGTACATAATCATATGCACAAATACAAAAAATAACATTGAATTTATTAAAGCACTAAAATTCATATAGTTGAACATGAAGAGAGGTTCCTTTTAATAAAGAAAAATAAAAGAAGTAGCAGAAACCGATGAAGATCAAGAACTCATGAATAAAGAATATGACACGCTTAATTTGTAACTAAGACAAAAGAATAGTACAATAAAAGTTTTAGCTAGCACGGATAAAAATAAATAATGTAGAAATTGAAACGTTAGCTATAGTTGATACTCGATATATATTTAGAGAGAGTGTGTGGATACTACCATAATTCGTTTGTGTGCTGTAAGAGGTATCAACATATGTACTAAGTCTTAGAACCTCAAGAGATGAAATCCAACACAAAGATGATAAAACATCTAGGTGGAGGGGATTAGCCTGCAAATCTAGTACTTTCAGGTTCGTAAGATTCGACAGTTTGTCAAACCCTGGAAAACAAAATCAGAAGAAAAAAGCAGGTTAATATATATAATTTGATACAAGATTAGGCAAAAAGAGATTAACCTTCGTTTTTGGTCCATCCTGTAAGATAATTTTGAGATAGTATAAGAACTTGCAGCGATTTGAATGGAAGAAACAAAGAAGCATTAAAATTCCAACCGTCGCGAAACAGAGAGGCTCGTCTGAGATCGAGTTTGATCACTCGACCTGTTGCTAAGTTGCATTTTACCCGAGGCAATGAACAACAATCTAGAAAACCAATCATCATGTCTGCCTGCAGCTCCAAAAGAGCACTTCTCTCTTCCTCCAAACAACCATTTGCCACAATTATCATCAGAAAGAACACCCACAACCATAACTTAGTATTCCCCATATCCTTCAGTTACTGTGGTTTAGTTTGCTGTTTTAATAAACTTAGCTAGCAGAAGGTTATATAGGAATTACAGCATCTCTACACAGTACACAACAAATTTTTCTTTGTAAAACAAAAGAGTAACATCTCAGTACCTATCCAGCATTTGTTTTAGATGACTTGACCAAAAAAGTCAAGCTTTAAAGATGGGCAAGATGACTGGAATATCAATCCTTGAATGTGTGGAAAAAATTACTGAATAAAGTAGTGCATAGTAATTTAGAGCCACAGAAGACTTGATACTGTGGTTGTCCCTAGCTAGTCTATGGCAGTATTGGAGATCCACTATATAGTCATCTCACTTGCAAAAAACGTTTGGTTTTTAGCTTAAGTCAAGATCTTCTAAGTATCTACTTGCTAGCTTGCTTCCATTTTGGATGACTTGACGAATCCCGCTATAACAGTGGCGGATCTACATGTTATATCTTTAACAAAATTTAGTAAATTTGTATAGGTATTTATAAAAATATTTAAATAAATATTGAGTAAGCACCCATAACTAAATTCATTTTTCCTCTTCTTTCAGAATTTTTATTAGTGAGCACCCACGACTTTAAAATCCTAGATCCGCCACTGCCGCTATTATGTCCCATTTCATACTAATCAATAGAGGTCATCTTTATATGCGTTAATGTAAATTTCAGATAAAATATAGTTCAACAGTCTGCATGAGTTAAGCTAAAACGAAGCACGTGTTGATTTTAATTCCAATCGCATTCCCACCCCTTTTGTCACAATTTTTGAAGCTCTAATTTGCCCCTATATATATATATATATTTCCTTGGATTCACTCGGGGTAAATGTAAGCAAGACTTATTGTGTGAGGTATAAGGATATTTAATCTCGGTATTAAATGTGGCATTACTTGTCCGGTGTTTGGTTAATATTAAAAATCAATACATTACTTTATTTGACTCACAGCAAGTTTCAGGCTTGTAGAGTTATAAAAGAGGAGCATGTTAAGATGAAAGAAATCAAATCGAATAACAGTCTCAACTTGAAAAATAAAAATAAAAAGCTCTGTTTCTAAATTTAAACTTGAGATTTAGATCCCAAACCATAGTTAAGAGAACCTGTTTATTCCTTCTAACACAAGCATAGGAACTAGAACAGTCTTGCCAACAGAAGAGAGAACAACAAAGGCACATAATCTATACGTACACAACTTAATACAATTAAAGAACACGTTTACGTTGTGCCAATGTAAGACATGAAAATATGGTTTCTCGTAAAGAAAGATGCGAACCCTCTTGTTTGTTCTTACTTCACCTGCATAAAATGAAAGGTAGATGGTATCGAACCATCTGCTTATTTGCTGGACTAGCTAGTTTCTTTAGATCAGTCAATAGAAGCATTTTTTGGATCTTATAATTGAAAGTACAAGAGGGGGTGTATTTTGGACTATTAATTTCTTAGTTGACTAAGTTTTCACTTAGTCGACAGATAAGATAGAGATGAATGTAATGAATTTGATGGCAACACAAGACACAACAGTTTTTATACTGATTTAGTATCGGTATGGTACTTACGTCCAGTTTTCCTTGGGTCACAAGGGTTCTTTTTAGATCTTTGACAAAGAATTACAACAGTGATGGTTTTGGCTCGTTCACCACCAATGATGTTTAGCAATAATGATTTTCGGATGTTGACACAACTCTCTTTTGTGTTCTAACTCCTTCTATTTTTTATGATACTTGTAGACTCAAGAATACAATATTTGTACTTAGACTTAGAGAGACTTAGAAGACAGTGTTTATAGTTGCGCACTTTTCTCCCTTGAGTTCGCTAGTGACCTTATAGGAAAGTATTGTTGTGTGTTTGTGTCTGATTCCAGCAAGGTGTCTTGATTCTTTCAAGAGAGATGGGTGTTAGATTAGAGCATGGTGTCTCTGATTTCTTCAAGAGAGATGGGCTGAAATTTGTTAAATCATGGAATGCTCTGTTCCATGCCGAGATGCTTCATACTTTTCCTGAAGAGATGAGCGCATGTGTAACGACCCGACCGGTCGTTTTGAGCATTTACGTTCCTTTCAACTATTTGAAGTCTTGAATAACTTCCTACGAGGTATTATGACTTGTGTGAATTATCAGTTTTGGTTTTAAGGTATTTCGGAGTTAGATTGGAAGAATGAATTTTCATGTTGGAAGCTTAAGTTGAAATAGTTGACCGGGTATTGACTTATGTGTAAACGACCTCGGAATTCAATTCTGATGATTTCAATAGCCCCGTATGGTAATTTTAGACTTAGGAGTATGCCCAAAAAATTATTTGGAGGTCCGTAGTGAAATTAGGCTTGAAATGCCGAAAGTTGAATTTTAGGACGTTTCACTGAGGGGTTGACTTTTTGATATCGGGGTCAAAATCTGATTCTGACAATTTTAATAAGTATGTTATGTCATTTTATGACTTGTGTGCAAAATTTGAGGTCAATCAGACGTCATTTGATAGGTTTCAGCGTTATTTGTAGAAATTAAAAATTTCAAAGTTCAATAGGCTTGAATTGGGGCGTAATTCATGGTTTTAGCGTTGTTTGAGGTGATTTGAGGATTCGACTAAGTTTGTATGATGTTTTAGGACTTGTTGGTATATTTGGTTGAAGTCCCGATGGGCCTCGGGTGAGTTTCGAATGGTTAACGGATCAAAAATTGAACTACAACACCTGCTGCAATTTTCTTCTGTTGGAAATTTCTTCTGCCAGATTCGAGCCCAGAAATCTCTCAGA